ATGTTACTGTAAGTAAACTGAGATGTTACCTCTGTAAGGTGGAAGACCCAGGGCAGGACCACTTGTCTTCAAGTGTTAAGACATGGTGGGACAGGAGCCTGGCTGGCTCGGATGGTTCCCCGCGTCCGCCAGCAGTGGACACAGCAGTCCTTGCTTCAGGGACGGGGGCGGGGAGCACTCACTAGGTCCTCATCATCGACCCCCACCCCGGGGCCGCTGCTCAGCGGGTGCTGCAGGGCTGGATTCCACCCCAAGCTGTGGGCTCAGAAACCCCAGACTCTTCACATCAAATAACTGGTTTTGAAAGTGGCTTTTGTGGCGGCACTTCAGAGGTTCCCTGCAGTCACTCACTGCAAGTGTCATATTAAGGATGATTTTCAATATATAACAGGTACGCTCTGAGATAAAACACGCATGGCTTAGGCTGCCAGAGATCTCAGGTAAGGCCTCCAGTTTCGTGCTTGTGAGGGCTTCTTGGGTCGCTGCTGGGAGGGTGCAAGCCTGGTGCTGGGATCACCACACCTGGCTGCTAGTGGCTGTCACCATGTGTAATGTTAGTGATTATAACCTTTGGGTGTGTCTCACCTGATATATGGAAGATAAGGGCTGGAAGCAGGTCCTGGGTAGTCCTCTGTTAATCCTTTTTTTCAAGCATTTACTTCAGCTTTGTCCATAAGCAGAGACTGCAGACTAACTATTTCGACTTAAATAGATGAAAATAAGGCTTATTCCTCTATAGCATTCCAAATAAAAGCAGATGTGAATTGGACACTGAGTTCACAACTTGCACTGGTCGGAAATGCTTCCCCACGCTGACCCTTGCCACCACACTGATTTTAAGACATTGTGACTTGAATTTAGTTCATTCTATTAACATTGTTTTTAGGTACTTGAAAGGTTAAAAGGAAAAAAAAAAAACCTGGATTATATAGAATAATAAAACTTTTTGATTTTGGTTACCAGGGATAGGAGGACTTACAGTTTAAGCCTTTGTGTAGTGACTGCTAGGCTCTAATCCAAGATTTCTGATTTGGCTAATTCAAAGAGAACCAGGTTAGAATAACTATTTATCTAAGGCTGCTTTCTGGAAGCCCAAGAGCTCTGAGGGGAAGGCGTCAGGAGAGAAGTTTCTTGTTCACATTTTGCTGTTTATTCACTGGTAACCCTGGATGAATCTTTGCTGCTCCCTGAATCTCATTTTTCTCAACAAAGCATCACAAACTCAAAATGAATTAAAGACCTAAGTGTAAGACCAGATAATATAAAACTCTTAGAGGAAAACATGGGCAGAATACTCTTTGATATAAATAGCAGCAATATCTTTTTCTGTCCATCTCCCAGAGTTATGGGAACAAAAACAAAAAATAAAGGGGACCCAATTAAACATGAAAGCTTTTACACAACAAAGGAAATCACAAACAACATGACCCACAAGGAATTAGTCACCAAACAGCTCATACAACTCAGTAACAACAAAAAACCCAACCCAATCAAAAAATGGGCAGAAAACCTAAACATTTTCCCAAAGACGACATACAGATGGCCAACAGCCACATAAAGAGATGCTCATCACCAGTAATTATTAGGGAAATGCAAATCAAAACTACAATGTTATTTACAAAACAGAAACAGAATGAATGTAAGGTCACTAGAGGGGAAGGGTGGGGTGAGGCAGGAGAGGATAGTTTGGGAGTTTGGAATTCACATGAACACACTGTTGTTTTTAAAACATTTAACCAGTAAGGACCACTGTAAAAAATAAAGTTAAAACCAGGAGGGTGGATTAAATCAGTAATTTTAATCATCAAAACCTTTCTTCAAATCAGATCTTACTTGGAAGCCCAATACTAAAATGGGCTGGAGGCTCGCTCCCCACAGAAGAGCATGACAACCACGAAACTACCCGCCTAAGTTCCCTTACCCACCTCTAATGTCAGAGTTTCAAGTCCCAGTCCTCTGAAACACAAATGTGGACTCCTGCTGTCCCCTCCGAGGCTCTTGAACAGACTAAGGGGCAGAGTGGATTCACTCCAGGCGCCTAAACACTGGCCACAAGACTGACTAGAGAACCACAGTGCAAGGGGCTGAACAACTGTGGGTGAAAATGATAGCTCCTTAGTTCACACAGTCACTCAGTCTACAGCAGAATCAAGGCTGTTGCAGTAGCAGGCACTGCTGTCAGTCAGAGCAACAGGGTTATTTAATCAGGATCCAAGCCTCAGGGGTTAAGTTTTGCACTTAGAAAAAAATCTTAAAACCAGTCTGGAAGCAGTTAAAAGTCAATTTTGAAAGCCGATGTAAAATTTCACTGGAAATACAACTGAAATGCCAGCTGCCATGAGCAGTATAACAGAAGCTAACTAAGAACATGGATATGATAGACAGACAGTAAGTGGTAAATAAAATACAACGGCATTTAAAACCTTTGTTAATTCCTACTTCAGAGGGTACCCTTTCCCCTCATGGCTCTGACCATCTGCCTAACCTAGAAGAGCCCTGTTTGACCAGGGAGGCAACTGGTATCTGCAGAGCAGGCAGCAGACTCCTCCAAACAAGGGAGAAGATGCAGGCAGCACTGCTGTGGTGTATCGGGGCCAGGGAGACCGTCCCAAGGAGTCAGAGGCTTGGGAGCAGAGCCGCTGCCTCTCTCACTAGATCTAGTGCTGCCCTCCAGATACCTCATCGGTAAGCTCCACTTAGAACAAATGCTCTTAGATGATGAAACCAACTGGCAGCTGGACCCCTGTCACATTCTCCAAACTCCAAGTGGAGTCAGTCATTCTGCTGTGCAGCCCAGGCCCGCTGTCACCACTGTCAGCTGCGCCCTCAGTTAACGCAGCATGCAGCGACACAGGAGCTGTTCAGTGGCGGGATCACCCAGCCTTTGGGCCAGGCCAGGCGTATCAAGTCACGTGGCCTGAAGACCGTATTCTAGGGGTTTACTCAACTCCCATTTTGATTTTTTTTAATAGCTGGAAGTTTAACAAATGCTCTGGGAGCATTTTGTTCATTCCCCTTTAAATGTGCCACAGTATTTAACTCTTTAGAATATTCTTTGCTAATGTAAAAATAAACAATGAGTATTTTAGCAAAATCAATTTTCTGTACACCTTTACTAGGAAGTCTTAGTGGATCACTGCAGCGCTATCATTTTTTGGACCGGGATTGAGACCAAAGTACAGAAAGAAGGGAAGTACTGGAGAGACCCATGAAAGGCAAATCCGGAGATGAAGATGATGACCTGGCACCTCAAGGTTACCTTTAGCACTCGGGGGCTCAGAGATCAAATACCTCTGAGTGAGGAAAACTGGCTGTGTCCTCGGGTAACCAATTCCTCCACGTACAGCCTCCTCCATGAGGCACTTCCTTGCCTTCTGCCCACACTGTGCAGGTCTTATCCATCTTCCTAACGCCAGCAGTTCCCTGTCTACGGCCCCAACAGCTTTGTTAGATTCTACCAGGATTTCTAACTTCCCAAGGCCTAAAGCATCAGCCCTCAGGAACAGGAGCTCTGTGTAGAGACACACGCAGGTTTTCACAGCGTGGCCTGAACCCAGACTCCGCTCCCTGATGGACTGAAGGCCGCTGCAGTGGCACCTTCTCCCTCACACACCTGCCAGGCGGCACAGAGATGGCAGACTGGAACCAGCCGGAGTGTTTTAAAGTGTGTGTGTACTTTAAGCAGTGAGCACATCCAGAGAGTGATGAGGGCCTTGGGAGGCTCTCAGGTGGTCATCACAGGCCACTTGTCAAGAGCCCCCAACTCACCTCCGATGTAAGGCTGGCAACCCAGAGCTGGGCACTACTCAGTACCTACCCTCCCTCGGGAAGGACTGCATCCCGTTAAGTCCCCCAGAGGCCCGAGGGACGGGAAGGGTGCCCAACAGTGACACGGGAAGGAAGATCCCTCTACAGAGAGCAGGAGCGAGTCAGGAAGTGACGAGAAGCCATGGCCCTCTTGACTGGCTGCAGACCTAAGAGGCGGAGGTTCCTCCCTCTTGTGGGAGGAGGAAGGAGACCTCTAATTACACACACAGTCCACTCACATCCAGCTCAGCTTCTGCCCCAAGGAGTCTCTGCCAAGGACAGGCAGAGGCGAGGTGCTTTCTGGCCACCCCCTCAAAACCCCCCTCAGTCTCTGCTGCATGCAGGCCTCGGTGCTTACCTGCTGCTGCAGGTGCTGCCGACGCGCCCTTGGTGTGTAGGGTTAAGGGGCCAGAGTACTGGCTGAAATCAAAGTAACAGCCAAAAAAAAAAAAGCCTCGAGGACTGAAGTAGTTTTAATTACTGTTGACACTCACTTCTTCAGATAAGGAAGAATGGCCGACTGTTAAAGATGCTTTGTCTTTTTAACTTTGGAGACAATAGGGGCAAAAACCATCAAGGAAATGTGCTTCAGTGTGTGGGCATCACGGTACAGGCTCCTTGCCAAGGTCTCGAGTTGAAAAGAAATCTGGTTTTCCTGTGTCAGAGTTCAATTTCTCAGCAGCACCTCAAATTGCTTTGGTGTCAGAGGGAAATGGGATGAAGGGGAAGACACCACAGGGGGAAAAATCAGAACGTGTTAGCAAACGCTACCATGCGGAACACTAAACTTTATTCACTTTATTTATATATTTAACAGTTCTAAAGTATTTACTTCTTGCTTTGACAAAAAATGAAAAATATAGGAGCGCTGACTGACTCCTCTTTAGGAGAAAAGGGTTATATGTACAGCTACGGAGAGTTACGGTTCCTCCTTTACATACAAAGAAAAATATTAATAAAAAAGTGCTTCATTGATCAAAAAAGGGCTAAGAGCTGCAAGCATTTATTCACACTGTACATCAGACCCAAGAAACCCGTAATCATTACCTCTTGGCACCTGTCACTAGGAACTGCACAATCTTCAATTAGACTGACTTCTCCCAACCTGCAGGGCCTGACCACACAAGAGTGTGGAGAACTTACACCCTGTTTCACTAAATGCAAATTCTGAGCAGCTTGCTGCCACTGGGAAGTCAGATGTGCTCAGGTGCCCTTGGCTTTGCCTGGACTGACAGCTCCAGGGAAGGCTTCCGGGCCAAGTCTTGGCTACACCCAGGCACACAGGAGCCACCTTCCTGAGACACAACTTGCCCTTCGCCAGGGAACCGCTCCCAAAGGGTCAGGAGAGTTCCCAGGCCGCACCCCCACTGCTCACCACAATCTGCCCTGTTACCAGTTAGCAGCTTTTCACAGAGCCTAGATGGCCCTTCCTCCGGGAGAGAGGGCAGGCACAAAACGTGGACACCAAGATCCCAAAGCACAAACCTAAATTCCGCTCCACCCTTCTGCATGCCCACCTCCACCACAAATCCTGATTTAAGGCTCTTTGAGGGCCACATCAAAGCTTGCTGAGGAGAGGTGCCTCGCAGTTCCGACGGGCTGTGAACCTTCTCTAAGGAACCCTGCAGTCACCACGTCGCCCCTTGCGGCTGACAAGTAGCACACAGCAGGACCAGGCAATGGCGGGGCCCTGCCAGCTGCTCCAAGGGGCGGTGGAGGAAGGCTGGTTCTGTGGGACACACTCCCCCTTTCCAGACGCTTGCACTCTGAGAGGCCGATTCTACCCCTCAAGGGGGAGATCCACGATTGTTTGGGAGTGGGGCATCTCGGGAACCCTGAGTCTGGACTTCCCTGTGCTGGCCGAGGAAGAGAGTGTTTGGGGGCCCAGGCCCTGGAGGGGGCTTTCAGGTGCCCCCCGGGCTCAGCGCCTACCTCGGCCTTGACTGCAGCAGCGGGGTGCTGTGCCCTGGCCGGTTTGACGCCTGAAGGGGGGGAAGTGCTGCCGGCCTGGCTGAGGGGGCTGACCACTGACAGTGAGGGGGGCCCAGACACCTGGGTCTGTTAACAAGGTAACGAGAATCCTGGGGAAGAGGAGATGCCAGCCACCCACTGCCAGCCCTCTCAGGGCCTCTGGAGCGTGCCCTCTCCCAACCCCACTCCTCTGCCTGTGGGGGGACTGGCCCAGCCCCTCTTGAGGGGGAGAGGGCACACAGAACTGCTCTCAGGGCAGATACTCTTGGCATCCTCAAAAGCAAAGGTCTTCCACTCAGCTCTGATGTGGCGGTGGTAACGAGGATCAGTCACAAACGGCAGCACTGGCTTTATTCCCCGCTGTCTAACTCAGGCCTCCATTCCTGACTCAACCAGCCTCCTCCCATCCTGAAGAACAAAGCACCGCTCAGCATCGCTCAACAGCTGGCAACCTCTGGTCTTCCATCAAAAAAAAATAATTCTTTTTTTTTTTAAAAAGACAACCAGGGTACTTTTCTCTTTTTTGGAGGCAGAGGGAGGATAGAAAATGGAGAGGAAAAAAAATGCGGGGTGGGATGGGAAGGGAGGAATCAAAAGCACAACCCAGTGGTACATCCCAGAGTGCCACCATTCTGCACAGCTGGTTCATGTCCCCATCCCAAAGCGCACGGGCCTCCAGGTCTGCCCAGGCTGAGTAGGCCTGTCAGGGGAGCAGCAGCTTGGCCTCCGCCCGCCCAGGTCACGGAGCTTCAGTTTGAAGTGGCAGCAATGGGCTTATCCAGTTCTAGGTCAATGCTGGAGCTTGTGGGATGCAGGCTGCTATAGCAAGACTTGCACACTCGATTAGGTTCAAAGAGCTGTTGGCTGGGAACTGGAACCTTCTGGTTACAACAACTGGAGCAGAATACATTCCCACAGTTCCTTGAGATGAGAAAAAACAGAAACAGCATTAGTGTCAGCAGCAGAGACAGGCTGGGGAAACCAACTTCAGGAAGGCAGAGCTGCCCTGTATGCAACTCAGATGTGCTGGAGACTGGAGACTCCTCTACACCAAACACTCCGATGGGTCTGACCCAGTGAGAAGCCAGGCAGGGAAGGGACCCCTCCTGAGCACAGTCGCACACCACTTTCACTTTAGGGTCCAGGACACTTGGCTGCCTTACCACTACGGCTCAAGGTTACCAGGTGTCAGAAGATGCTGCTCAACAGAGATCCATGGAAGCAAATGGGCCCAGGGTGGAAGGCAGCTACTAGCTCGATGGCTGAGTCTTCCTTGGCCCAGGAAAACCCTGTGGCCACACCCACCTGAGCAATGGCCTCTGTGTAGCTTGTGATCATCAAGAGGCCAGAGACCAATTCAATTGGTCTCTGAGCCACTCAGATGAGAGAAACCTCCAGCCCACCTGGGGAGTGAGGAGCCCGTGCCAAAAGGCTCAGAGGCAGTAACACAGAACAAGCTGCTGTCGTCTAGGACTGCTGTGCTGCCGGCATGCGAAGCCAGGAGACGAGCGACCCATGCCACGTGCTCAGGGTAAAAGGACAATGCAGATGAACACGCGTGCATACACACCCCCGATTAGACAAGGGGTCAGTCACTCGTGGGTCACTCTGCTGCCCGCATGCATCTCCAGGGAGTATATCCGCTCTCTGAAGGCCTGACTGCACCCTGACCTCTCACCCTTCCTCCATTTGAAAGCCCAGCTCTGACGCGTGTGTGCAGCATAGGTCTGCACAGCCAAACAGATGCCCTACACAGCCTCCAGGAAAGGGAACTGGCAGAGGCTGAGGTTCTGCTCACCTTACAGCCCCACTCTGGGAAGGTCCTAAAATCAACCCCAATAAGCCCAAAAGGAGGCTCCCAAGGAGTCTGATGCAGCCCTCCAACAATGTGGGGTCAAAAGCTAAAGGGTAACTCCTCCTCAGCCAGCATCACTCACGACCTTCTCCTTGATGCTCCTCAGAAAGGAAACCCACTGCTGGATTAAGGACCACTTAAGCACAAAAGAGAATGCTGAATACCCTTTGCAGATAAAAGAATACCACAAAAGGAAAGGGGCAATGAAAAGACAGAAGGAAAACCAACACACAAGACTTCATCCTCTGGAATGCAGTGAGTAATTCACAACTGTTTCTGAAAAGTGTGCATCAGTAAGAACCTGTGGTTACAGAGAGAAATTGCCTCAATCTATCTCTTAATGTGTACATTTATTTCACATACCTGCTGGAATTCAACTCAAAGGCCTGACATGAATTTGATAAGCTAAGCTTGTCTATCTGACCTCTCTCAGGCAATCCTGACAGGTGCCATGTGGGGTCTTGCCTTGCAGTTTTCAATGCTAGCAGTCCTCTGGAAAGACCACCTCTGTTCAGTCCTGGGCTCTTTTTTTTTTTTTCCCCCAAAGAGACAAAAAAAAAAAAAAGGAAAGACCAGTGATGCCAGTACCATTCTGGCATCGCAGGGAATGACTGACCCAAAAGACAAAGCTCTATAAACCCCTCTACTGGCCACCTCACAGGACCAGCCCCTGCTGAAGCAGCCCTCTGAAGGGCTCGCCTGACCTGTGCAGTCAGCGGGCGCACCCTTGGCTGCAGCCTGGCCAGCTCCAGTGGTCTCCTCAGCCAGCAGCTGTGGTGCCCCCACGCCCCCAGCCCACCCGCCTGCGCTCCCGGACCCAAGCTTCATCCCAGTGAGTGCAGAGAGGGAGAATAGGAGCGTTAGTGCGGAGAAGTTACTGCAGATGTGCAGACACCACAGACAGGCTGTTGCAAATGCTCACCATGTTTGATCAACACGATCAGTATCCCTGCAAGGAGGGGAGAGAGAGCTCAGAGGAGAAGCCAACTAAAGACATTTGGGCTTGGGTGAGAGCGGGGAGACACACAGTCCTGGAAGCATCATTGCTGGACAGGGGGGTGGTTCCATTTTCAATCCAGGCCCACTCACACGGGTGAGGCTCTGTCACAATTCAGATCAAATTCCTATTCCAGGAACACTATGCTCCAGTCACCACCCCAGCTGGGGCAAAGCACCCGTAGCCACTCACTCTGCAGCCCAGAAAGAAGTTAAGAGCCTTGTGGAATGAAAACTGCCTGCTCAGCCAGTCCCACCAGCCCCTACCTGCAAGAAGTATGGGGTCAGGGAGCAGGGCAAGGGGCAGGCAAATGAAGCTCCCTGCCCACAACAGGAAAGCTCTTTTGCTCACAGCAGCCATGCTGCAGGGGAAGCACTTTCACTCTAGGAATAAGAAGTGGTGGTTTGGGTGGAGATGGCTGTTGTTCACCAATCAAGGAAGAAAAAACAAAAAGGGACATCATTTGTACATTTCAAAACTTACTAACAATCACTCTAAAATCAAAGAGACACCAAATGCAGTTATGTAAACACCAATTTCAGAGGCACAAAAGATGAGCCGGGGTCCTGAAGACCCCTGGGTCTGCCAGCCAGATGCCGGCATCTCCATCTGCAGGCTCTGCCCCAGCCTCGGCCCCCACACCCCCGCCCGCCCTGCCACTCCCCCCAGGTGCACCTGCAGTGATGCTTCCGGCTGGCAAGCCAGAAGGCGCTGTCACACGCATAGCAGTGGGCGGCCAGGTGGTCAGGGAGCCAACGGGTCATCTGTAAAACAACAGGGCCAGGTCAGTGACAAGAGATGGGCCATCCGGCTGGAGCCAACGGAGCCATGCTGGGGCAGCAAGAGTCACAAGGACCACACTGGCTCCAGGGGCACCAGCCCATCAGGCCTGATGTCAGCAGTACAAGAAAGGCGTCCAAATCATTCCCCTCGAGGGGACTCCAAATGCCCCTGAGAGCGAGAGGCAGCCAGAGCAGCCCGGCTGCTGTGAGAGCAGGCAAGGCTCCATGCAGAGGCACTGAGGAGAGGGCTGGCTCGAGTTGCCCTGGCTCAGAAACTCCAGATCTGACGGGAAGTCATAGGTGCTGAGACTCAGAGAGGGCTAAGTGTGTGGTGAGCTCTTTCCTTGGCTGGGGCAGGGGGAACAGATGATGGGGGTGGAGAAGAACCGCAAAATAGTTGCATGGGTGGCACTCAGAACAGGGGCTGAGCCTGTACCTCCGTGTCCTGTTTATCCACCTGCTCCCAGCTGGCTTCAGAGAAAATCTCTGTGCTGCAGCGAGACAAACAGTTCTGATCCAGATTGCTTTCCGAGTCGGGAATTGAAGTCTGTTGGCAAACAAACACAGCTGAACAGAATGAACCTGGTCTCCTCCCAGAAGAAGAAAGAGCTTGGCAAAGAAGGGAGCACAAGGAATGTGGGCGGGCCTGGGTGTTAGGGCTGCTGAATCTCTAGGTGCCTCAGCCATTGAGAGCTGGGTTGAGCAGGTGCAGAGACAGGGTTGAGCTCAGCTGGAAGAGAGATACACAGATCTAAGGCGGGGTGCAGTGACTCTGGAGTGGCAGGGCAGGCCTCGGGTTCCAGGTAGTGAGTAGGCGAAAGTGACCAGGGTGGAGTGGGAACGCCACGCTGGCTGCTCCAGGGGACCTGCCAATCTAACCCTGCCACTGACATCTGTGTGCTGAAATAGTGCTTTGGGCATGTCCTCCTTTCTCTGAAGGACTCCTTGGGGAAATGAAAAAACCAAGTCAGTTTGAAGTGAAGTCATTGGATGAGCCCGCCTTTAATGTACGCTGACTGATTCAGAGCCAGACACAGCTGTACTTAATCATGCCGAGTCAAACCCACCAGGAAGGAGAGTGTCTCCCTGAGACCCTCCCCTCAGGTACCCCCACTTCCAGTCACCAGGCCCATCTGCACTAACTCCCGACCGTGCTAGAAACCAATCCTTCTTCCCATCTCTATTGCCATCACCGGCCACAAGATGGGTACAAATATGTTTGAAAGAACTAAACCTTCCAAGCCACAGCTCACGTTATTGGGGGGTGGGGTAGGACAGACACTGTAAGTGGACAGGCACATCTGTGTTGCCGGACAAAGGTCACTCTGCCCAGCTCACGCCCTTCAAGGCCTGACCCTCTCTGCACAGAGAGCTGGCCGACCACATGGTGAGTGCGCCCTCTTCCTGCCTCTCCTGGAGACAGGACACCTGTGGAGAGTACGCAGGCAGGAGAGAAAAAGCAGCACTGCTGGTCACCTGGCGGAGGCGGGTCTCCAGCCTCTCCCCAGGGCTATTCTAGACCTTTCCGACTGCTTCTGAAATCGGGCAGAGGGCGCCGGCGCAGCGTGCCCATCTCCTGTGCGGATGGAGGCACCACGGTGTACTCACCACTTCATCCCCGAAGTCCCCGTTGAAGCGCAGGGAGCTGGTCAGGTACTGGCTCTCCAGGCGACTCCTCAGCTCCTGGACTTGTTTCTTCAGGGTCTCCACTTCCTGCTGGTGGCCCGACTCGATCTGACGCAGGCGCTGCTGGATCGTGTCTGTGTACACAGGCATGCCGTCGTCGTCCAGGTGGCTGCGGGAAGGCTGCTCGGGGCTGCCGGCGGCCGACGGCCTCCCCGAGTGGCCGTGCAGCCACTTGTGGTGCAAGCTCCTCGCGTGTGCGTGGGCAGAGCTGCAGCTTGTGGCCGACAGCTGGCGGCTCAGGGAGTCCTTGCTCCTCCCGGTCTCCCCATTGGCGCAGTGTCCATTGGGGGTGGGGTACTTCTGGAGGGTAGTAGGCCCTGGGGGCTGCTCCGAGGCCTTATTTTTAGCCTCTGGGGCACCGTTGCACACAAGCCCCTCTTTACATTCGGCTAAAGGAAAGGCACTAGGAGAATGTGCTGGGCTCCAGGCACCGCCAAGGGAAGTCCTGCGCACCGCAGGCCCCAGCTGGGGCGTCTCCGCCAGGCTTCTCTCTGTAGGCCTGGGCTCCACAGCTGGAGGAAGCACGTCCTTGCTACTGAGCCGGTCCCTGTGGACTGGGCCAGGTCTATGATGGCCCTGGGGCCCACTGTCTGACTTCACTTTATCTTCCATTAACATGTCCACAGACCCATCCATGTTTGGTCCTCTGGTCTCAAATGGAACTTGGGAGGGCAGAGAACTTGACGGTGAGGTACCAGAGTCAACATCCACATCTGCTGAGACGGGAAGGCCTGCCTCCTGCCTGTCCTCTGCCACAGCTCCTATCTGAGAGGGTGCCACAGGGACCTCCTGGGTACCCTCTCCCCTGGGCGGCTCCTGGAGAGAACTGGGGAGAACAGTGGGCCCGCCCTGCTCAGGAGCACCCTGAGAGAGCCCAGGAGGGCTGGTGCCTGGATGGCTGCTTAGGGCAGCCTCACCAACCTCTGGCTGCTGATCAAGTTCACGAGCTGAGCCCTCGGGGCCCTTACCCCTGCTCCCCTCTTCCAACAGAGCCTTCTCCTTGACCTCCTGCACCCCCCTGTGGGCTGGCTCCTCTACCCCACTCTCCTCTTTGGTGGCCTCTTGTAAAATGTTCTCCATCTGCCCCTCAGCTACTCCAGCCGCAACAGACAGCTCGGCACCACCCAGCACTTTGGTTGGCTTCCCCAGGCTGTCAGGCTCCACAGACTCCTCCCCAGGACCAGCCAGGGTGCTCAGTTCCAGCGAGCGACGGTGCTCCTGCCACTTCTCATTCAGGCTCGGGTCACTGCTGCGCCGGCTGGCCAGAGGCACTGTGTTGTCACAGGCGGTGGTCAGATTGTCAAATGATCTGGTCTTTGGTAGCCTAAAGAAAGGAGTTTGGGGGAAATGAGGATCTGAGGTTGTTCTAGGGTAAGCCAGAGACAACAGGTTTTAACAGGCAGTCATTTCCTCACTGGCTCCATCACAGCTACTCAAGGAGCCGTGGCATATCTGGAGTAAGACTCAGGCTGCAGGCAGGCTGAGCTCCAGGCTGAGACCTTCTACTCTCGGGCACCTCCCCTACCTCATGCCCAATATATACAGATAAACTAATGCCAAACACGGTTTTAGAAACACAATCTTCATGATACTTCTGCATTTCTCAATTAGTGGCAAAGCAAAGTAGTGTTGCTGATTTTCTGATAGTACAATATTTTAAATTACTCTTATTAGTCATCAGTCTGAATTCAGTAAAGCTAATTCATAGGTTGCAAAGCAGATTATCATCTAATAAAATCTGCCTTTCAAGAGCAAGATGACATGTCACAACAGGGAGGCAGGAGCACAGAGCTGTGGGTCACAGGAACACAGAGGGTTTGCTCCATCACTGAGAAACTGCCTAAGAGCAGAGTGGAAACAGGGCCCAGGACTCTTCAGGGACAAGGCTCATACAGCCTCACAGCCCAAAACCCTTACACCTTCCCTAAGAAAACCTCAAGAGAGCTTAGAAAAGTGTGGAGCCAGACAATGTCAAAATCTCTGACCATCCCTGTATACACCCCAACACAGGAATACACCGCTGAAGGACCTGAGGACTCGGCATCAGCCCCAGGCTCACCGACTCAGAGGCGGCTCATCGGGGCTGGAGCCTGGGGCGGGGTACGGCGCGCAGCTGTCGTCCACGGGGGTGGACGGGGACGGGCAGGGCAGGTACACTGCGCTCCACAGCATCAGGTTGCGCACATGGCACACAGGATACAGCACCTGAGAAGAGAGCGGGGAACACGAGTTCAAACAAGTTCCCACAAGTCTGTCAGAAACGTCCAGAAATGAGGGGAAGAGCAAGCACCAAGCGGGGACGCCCAGCAGTCCTGCAAGGTCTCCGAGAGCCATTACATGAGTGAATGCAGCTCTTATTGGGCCACGAGAGGGTGGTAGACATTTTTCACCCGAGAGCCTCTGTGGGCATGAAAATCTAAAAACATTTTTCAAAAATCCATTTCTCATTAGTTATTTCTTAAGTCACCTTTACTGAATGACTGGCTTTTCTCAGCTTAATTTGTTGCTTTTACTGCACAAGAAAGCGAGTCATTCTGCTAGATGGTGATTTTCTGTTCCCTGGTACAAAGCTTGGCTTCAGAACACACTATCAAACCTGTTTTACAGGATCATCTAAATTAATCATATGGACAAGGAAGGAAGGAAGCTTTCTTCCATACTAATACGTGTCTGCAGGCACAGGAGAGAGAGAAGCAGCGAGGTTCAATCCTTCCTTGGACCACTTAACTGAAGTAAGAAGTCATTCATTAATAGTCCAGCAAATCAATATAACCTCAGATTGGCCTCCTTGTTGGAAAAGGCAATGGCACCCCACTCCAGTACTCTTGCCTGGAAAATCCCATGGACAGAGGAGCCTGGTAGGCTGCCATCCACGGGGTCGCAAAGAGTTGGACACGACTGAAACAACTTAGCAGCAGCAGCCTCCTTGTGACTTAGAATTTAAGATGCATTCTGACATGAGGAACAAGACCATGGACCAGTGCACAGATGTATGTGCTTCCTTTTCTCTGCTTAACAGAAGGTGTTCCTTTGAGGAACAAAGGCTTAAAGGAGCTGCCAGTTCTCCATGTGAGCAGAGGGTCAATCAGACAGACATGCTAGTGTCACACAGTCTTCTGCTGAGGCAGAAGGTGCAGTGGGTATCACCACCTGTTGACACTGGGAAGATGCAGGGGGCCTGCAGCACCTTCTGAGCTGTCAGGCATCCGAGGAATGACCTAAGTGCCTCTTCCACATGTCAGGAGATGCTCGGAGTAAGTTAAGCTCTGGCAGAGATGCTTAGAAAAGACTCTTATCTAGAGTAGCCAAGTAGAGACGTGTGTTAAGGTCAAACCACTCCGAACAAAGAGGAGTCAGAAGCAGGGCAGAGCATAACCAGAAAACAGGCCTTTCTCAGGACAGAGTGGTTGGAAAAAAATGGAACCAAGCCTATCCAGAGACAACCAAGATGGCTTGTTGAAGAGGATCCCCTGTGTCCCCATCCCCGAGTTTATTCTGCTGCTGAGAGCAGAAAGACTGCAGGATACGTACGGCCTCCGACTGCGAGGAGTACAGCAGGTTTCTGAAGGCCTTGTTGCCCGCCCGCAGCAGTGACCACACCGAGCACGTCCGCTCCTGCGTATGCTGCTCCCCTCTCTCCTTGGCGTTGTTGCACAGGAATGTCCCAAAGAGGCAGGAGTAGGTGTGCTGCACCAGTTTCACCTGTGAGACCCAACATGAAGCAAAATCAAGCAAGGGGCGCATGTTTTCTGGGGGGACGTCAGCCCAGCAGAGCCACCTTCCCCAACACCCCTGATGTGCACTTCCGTTCACACTCGGGAAGGATGGGGGAACCAAGTTGCAGCCTCCTCACAACCCTGACCACCACCCACTCCTGTGTCAAAAGGGCGTTGGCACCCCCATCCTCTCAGCCTCCTTGTAAACAATTTCCGAGGTCCTAAGTTAACTGGGCACAGGAGTGGGTCAGTGGGCCACCAAGTCTGAACTGAGAGAACACTTCTCCTTCAACAGCCCAGACATGTCTATGGGTGCAGAGAAGCAGCAGGGAGGAGACTGTTCTCCTGCCCTGCCGGGGAGGCGTGAGCAGTGCGAGGCGCAGTAAGGCAGGAAGGCAGGGAAGAGGGCCGGAGCACACGCAGGGCAGCGTGAGAGGCCTCCGTGGCAGAGACCTGATGAAGATGAGAGCAGGGCGTATGCACACTGCGGGAAGGGAGCTGGGAGGCTGTTCCAGGCAGTAGCAACTGCTAGCACAATGGTCTTGAGATGAGCACAAGCCTGCCACTTCTGAGGAACTGAAGGAGGCCAGTGTGACTGACAGACACTGCATGAGGTGAAGGGTGGGAGGAAATGAGCCTGGATGGTAACCTCTGGGAGAGCCCTGCAGGCCACTTTAGGGACTGTGACTTTTACTGTGTGGAAAAGCAGAGTAACTAGAGGTTTCCTGACAGGAAAGACATAGTCTATATCATGTTTCAGAAGGACCTCTGAGGCTGCTGGAGTGTCTGCAATTGGAGCAACAGCTGATGGTGGCTTAGACCAGTGCTGGGAACAGCACAGGTAGCAATAAGTTATCAGGTTTTAGGTACATTTTTAAAGCAGAACGACAGAATCTGCTGACAGACTGAATGTGGAATATGAAAGGGGAGTTGAGGACAATATAAGTTTTGCCCTAAATGAACTGGAAGGATTGAGTTGACATTTGGTGAGAAGGAAGACTTCTGGAAGATCAGTTTTGAGGTGGGGAGATATAGATATTAAGAACTAAGTTCTGAAAATGCTAAGTTTGAAACACCATTAAGACGTTCAGGTGGAGATATTGAGCAGTCACAAGCAGATATCAGAGCCTGGAGTTAAGTAGAGACAGAGGTCTAGGCTGAAGACTACACATGTGAGAATCACAGACAGCAATTAAAGCCAAAGGACCAGATGAAATCCCTAGAGAAGGAGACTGAACTCTGGGGCATTCCAACATTCAGAAGTGGGGGGGGGGGGTAAGGAAGAACCGGCTAAGGAGACAGAAAGGACCAGCTGGTGAAGCAGGGAACTAAGAGTGTGTGCTAGAAGTCAACTGAAGAAAGTGTTTCAGAAAGGGGTGATTAAATTATGCCAAATATTAACGATGAACCAAAGAAGATGAAGAAAAGTCAAAAGGTACAAACTTCCTACTATAAAATAAGTCAGCGGGATGTGACGTGACTTAGGGGGATATAAGTCAGGGGGTCGGTCGTAAGACAGTGAGCATTATTGTGCTGTGCATCTGAAAGCTGCCAGAGAGCAACATCTTAAAAGCTCTCATCACAAGTGAAAACTCTGTCACTATGCATGGTGACAAAGGTTAACTAGATTTGGGGTATCTTCTAGCAGAAGTGAGAGCTGGACTGTAAAGAACTCAGCGCCAAAGAATTAATGCTTTTGAACTGTGGTGTTGGAGAAGACTCTTCAGAGTCCCTTGGACTGTAAAGAGATCCAACCAGTCCATCCTAAAGGAGATCAGTCCTGGGTGTTCATGGGAAGGACTGATGTTGAAGCTGAAACTCCAATACTTTGGCCACCTGATATGAAGAGCTGACTCATTGGAAAAGACCCTGATGCTAGGAAAGATTAAGGGCAGGAGAAGGGGATAACAAAGGATGAGATGGTTGGATGGCATCACCAACTCAATGGACATGAGTTTGGGTAGACTCCGGCAGTTGGTGATGGACGGGGAGGCCTGGTGTGCTGCGGTTCATGGGGTTGCAAAGAGTCGGACATGACTGAACGACTGAACTAACTAACTAGCAATATATACAAGTATCAAATCACTGTTGGCTACCTGAAACTAACAAAATGTTATCAATTATACTACAAATTTTTTAAAAGGTGACTGAAAACTGATCACTGGGTTAGCGACATGAAGATCACTGGTGACCTTAACAAGAGCAGCTCTGGTAAAGTGGGGTGAACACCTGATTGACCAGGTTTCAAGACAGAATGGGAGAAGAATTTTGGAGAGTAAATGTAGAAGACCTGAGGAGCTCTGCTGTGAAGAAATAAGAAATGAGGTAACAGCCCGAGGGGGATGCAGGATCCAGAACAGGCGTGATCAAACAGGAGGCATTGCACCGTGCTTGTATGCCGACAGCAGTGATCCAGAAAAGCGGGAACAGGCCGACACAGAGGGCGGGAAGTAGGAATGCTGAAGCCATGAAGCTGAGCAGAGGAGGGAGTGGAAGCTGGTGCACAGGTGGAAGGAAGCTGGAAGAGGGCAAGGCCAGTGTGTCCTCCTTCAAAGGACGGGAGCAGAGAGTGTGAAACAGACCCAGGAGGGTTGGTAAGATCGACTGGAGGGAGCAGACAAAAATCTATTGTTTCTATTTTTAACTACTGTTTAGCACTTCTATTATCCATTTTTAAAGCTACATTGGAACAACTCAAAGACTTTATGTAAACTTAGTGCACATGGATTCATTAAATGAACACCTATATTACCTTTTTTTTTTTTAATAAAAAAGGTAAGACTAGCCCCTTAATTAAATCTAGAAAGGATACTGTTAAATGTGACAACTGGCCCACTAACACTTACACTGATACCCCTACGAATTTAGAGGGTCCCCAAAATGAAGAATCACAAGCAAAGACTCACAAGGAATGCTTCATTGAACTCAAAAGAGCATGGAAATTGCCTCTGAAGCTGATGAACACAGTCAAGCCACTGCAAAAACACTGGGCAACGCTCGTTCAGATCATCCGAGTTCTCCCCATGACCACACCGGTCAGCAAACTTGTGGCCAAAATCCAGCCACTCCATCTCCACGAGGACCTGGAAACCCTGTGGAGAAGCACCCAGGAGAGACCCATTTGTGCCTGTCTATCCAAACTATGACTGTCCTGAACCTAAGGTCACCAACAGGAATCCCTTTCAACAGCCTGCACTCAGCCCATCAGGAGCCCCGACCCAACCCCATGGCCAAATGATAGGACACATACTTAGGACGGTTTCCCAATTCCCCCGCCTCCAATCCATAATCAGCAGAGGGGTGGTAAATTAAGTGTTTATCTAAGTCTTTGTTAAGACAGTATTTTTAGTGCTTCCTTCACTATTAAAAAGTCACACTTTTGTCCCCTTCATATCTTATTTTTAGATTTCTTTCACATGTTACACTTATGAAATCATGTTTGTAAAATCTCCCCCAATCCCAGATTTACATATATTTTAGGGTACCTTAAAGGTTTTTCTTTTCTAATCCAACAGGTGATATTTCACAATAGGGTTCTTTCTGCACAGAACACTGTGGTGATATCTAGACCCATTACGCTAAGAAGCACATCAAGATCCTTCCTACAGAAACCCTATTTTCCGGGGTAGCCAAAACTTTTCCATGTAGATATTCTGCAAAGGAAAGTACGTCTGTATGCTCAGTACCTTGTTATCTACAGTCCACCCCCTTTAAAGAGGGACAGGCGCTGCGGTAGGTACCACTGCAATTCAGCTCAAGGTAAAGGAGCAGCGATTCTAAGCCACAGAGGTCTCGCTGTGGCCGGACCGAGCCACCTCACGAAACCTGGCCACAAAGCCCCGCGCGGCCTCGCCGGCCGCCCGGAAGGGCCCAGCCCCACCTCCACGGTTCGGTAGTAGGGGTCCAGCAGCAGCTTGGCCAGCGCCACGATCTGCGGGGTGCGGTCCCAGCCGTCGGAGCAGTGCACCAGCACGGGCCGCTGGTCCCGGTCCACCGCGTGCACCACCAGGAGCGCCGACTTCAGCAGCACAGACAGGTGGTGGAGCCACTTGGTGCTCTCAAGAGCCGAGAGCCAACTGAAACAGCGAAACGGGAGGGGACAGCAGACGCTGACACTGATGGCACACTGGGCCAGGCCAAATACCTGCCTGCTGAAAAGCAACTCCCAAAGACACTTCCCTCCAAAGAAAACAAACAGAAAAGCTCTGTCTTCATGAAGTATGTACAAGGATTAGGCCCAGGCGCCACCATGCAACACAGGAAAGCCTTAGAAATAGGACAGTAATTAACAGGGCCACCTTTTGTTCCAAAAATCTCACTGCTAATTTCCCAGGGAGAATTAATAATTTTCAGTCTGTAAAAAGTTGTATCTACCCAGTAAAGTTCGTTCTTTCTGGAATTGTCTCCTAAAGAAAAAAATGCAACCACTTCTGAGATGGAAAAAAGAAAATATTTGTATTTAACAATCAGCAACTCTGCCTAACAAGTTCTCAAAAAAAAAAAAAAGGAAAACTCAAATATGTATGTCTGTGGGGACTTCCCTGGTGGTCCAGTTAAGACTCTGTGCTCCCAATACAGGGGGCCAGGGTTCGATCCCTGGTCTGGGAGCTAGATCCCACATGCTGCAACTACGAGTTCGCCTACGCAACTCAAGATCCCACATGCTGCAACCAAGACTTGGTACACACAAATAAAATAATTAAATATATTTAAAGCAATACGTTTCTGTAACAAGATACAGTGCCTTCCCTAGTGGCTCAGATGGTAAAGAATCTGCCTACAATGCAGAAGACCTAGGTTCAACCCCTGGGTCAGGAAGATCCCCTGGAGAAGGGAATGGCAACCCACTCCAGTGTTCTTGACCAGAGAATCCCATGGACAGAGGAGCCTGGTGGGCTACAGTTCACGGGGTTGCAAAGAGACAGACATGACCAAGGGACTAACACTTTCACAACAAGATACAAGTTGGATGCCACTCCAAAAACAGTGCAGATAACATCACTTAGCACTACTGATCAAGTCTTGAATGTTTATGGATTAGAACTGGGTAGGCCCAAACTAATGATTCAGACTCACACAAATGGCTGCACACTGTTACTGGACTTAGTGAAGACTGGATTCAGCTGGGATCGAAAACAATCTTTTTTCAAAAGTATCAGATCCCAAGAACTACCCCTTGGGAATAATGACAATAGGTTTTTTAAAATTGTGCTCACATTTTGTTTCTTGTGCCCTGCCATGAATTCTACTCCCCACCCCCCCACAAAAAGCTCAAATTTCTCCAAAATATGATCAGATCTGTAGTTAAGGCCATAGTCCAGCCCTTCAAACATTAAGTCTGAGGAGGGAATGAATACTTCTGTCAGGGGACTATGAGAAGGCTTTTGCGGTGATGAGTCTATAAAGGCCTATTAAACCTTGGGGGATAAGTATGAATTTCTGGAATAGCCGAAAGAGAGGGTCTTTCCAGGCAAACAGACAACAGAACATACTGCATAAGTGCTGGCTTCACAAGGATTGGCTTGTTCTACCAACCAGACTGACTCCTAAGAGGGCAGACACTGTCTCAGGCACAGTTACACTTGCCCTGTGCAGTGCCTAGCATACACTGAAGGTTCCTACTTATTCAATCGTGGGTAAAAATTCTATCTCAAGACTTTCTATGGGCTATTAAATACATGAGAAACATTTTTTGCAGGTGGATTCTTTATTCTTATTCCTCATACAGTCTTGAAAAAGAAAACTAAAAGGTGGGGCTTAGGAGAACAAATACCAAGTTACCTCCTGGCCCCTGGAGAAACAGTAAATGAGAACCCAGTTCTCTTGAATCTGACTGACTCATCCTTAAAACCCAGTCAGTGCCTCCATGCCTAACACAGAAGCTGCATCCAAAATCTGCCAATGGAGGAGGTACTGATACTGCAGACTCCCTCGTCCTGTTCTCAAAAACTGAGGGAGGAACACAACTGGGCCTGAGCCCTTCACAGCTGCAAACAAGTGTCAGGAGGCCGGCTTTCAGCTACTCCCACCACAGCCATAGCATCTCTTATCTACAGGGAAGCGTCAGTAACGCATTATGATCTGTGCCAAATACAGACAAGTCATCTCCTTCTTCCTTTACAACTTCCCTCCTCCCCGTCATTCATGTGGACCAAACAAGGGCTAATTAATTACATCTTCTTGACTCAGAGCTTAAAAAATAGCTTTTTAAGGAAGACTTTTAACCTATATAAGATATTAGAGACCAGGGAGTATTGACACTATCCCTTTTATAGGCAGGAAAAAGGTTATCAGGAATTAACCTGATAACCACAGGAATTAAGCCACTTGGCTTGAGTCACGCAATTAGTGGCAGATCCCCTGGACCCTCAGCAGACTCTTTCTGTGTGCCATCAGCAGAGAAGGGAGTGCTACTAGCTGGGCTCTAAGTATGTGTAGCAGATGCAAATTGCTGACCCTCCAGGTAAGACAGCCATCATTTCTTTGGTCAGGCTTTTCCCCAAGGACAACTGCTTCACCCTCTCGGCTGACTGCAACTACGATGAAATTAATCATTTGCTACCAGGAGTTCGTACAAGTGATTCAGGCAGCCATTTGATTTAATAAATCAAAGGATGCTGCAAAATTGATGCAATCATGAGATCTACTGAACAGAACTCAGAGAAACTGTTATGGGCTCTTGCATGAACACCAGAAAACAGAAAATTCTATCTTCTCTGGCACCAGCCTGGATTCCTGAAATAGTAAAATAGGGGCTTTTAAATATTTATCTGTCCATATTTGTTTTTACAGAGCATTTTTCCTAATTTATCTTGTATTCAAACAGTTCCCTTGTGGGGAGGGGTATTATTTCACCTTCCTCACAGCAAATGCCAGCCATTCATTTTTAATAAGCAATAAAAATCATGGTAATGTTTTTAGTAAATAAGAAAGTAGTTTAAATCAGAAGCAAATGTAAAAGGAGCTGATCTCCTGGCATGTTTAAAAGTTTAACCCTTTCTAGAACATGATGAATACACTTTTACTCTTCATGGTAAAACACTCCAGTTCAGAGGAGGTTAAGTGTCACTACAGGATGTCAGAAAACAAATAATTAAATTACTCTGAGTCAAAACACGGAGAAGAGAAAGAAGAGGGCCCGGGAAAAATAAGGCAGCAGTGCTTCTGTTCTGAGGGTTGAGACCTGTTCTCTGCTGCACATTTTCAAACCTTTCAAAGGGCTAGTTTTCTCTCCCAGCTCCTCCTTTTTGCTGCATGATCCTCACACAGGAAGGAGAACACCCGTGGACTCATGGTAAAACTCAAGTTTACCAAAAAAATAGAAAGACCCCCCTCCAACTCATTAAAAAAGAAAAAAAGGGCAGTGCAAACTTCAAGCCAAGGCCAAGGTCTTACTTTCCCGGATCTGGCATCTGAGTGCAGAGCAAACGCAGAGACTGAAAACTCCTCCGAATTGAATGAATGTTTGCCATCCCCATGAAAACAACTTCACAGTTTGGGTAGTACTCTGCAGAGAGCAACAGAGAGAACACAGATACGGTGAGTTTAACGTCCACAACGCCAAGTTCAGTTTGCTCAAGAGGAGCAAACTGGATCTAGGACAAATCCACTGGAGCTGCTGCCTAATGAAATACTGGTGTTTTGATGACTATTAGCCCAGTCCTTTATTATACAGCACTTGATTTTTAGCCATCTTTTTGAAAAGGAAGGATTTGTGAAAAAGATGTGTGGATGTGTCAGTTGCTCAGTTGTGTCTGACTCTTTGCGACCCCACGGACTGTAGCCCGCCAAGTTTCTCTGTCCATGGAATTCTCCAGGCAAGAATACTGAAGTGGATTGCCATTCCCTTCTCCATGTGAAGAAGATACTGACATAAAATAGAAGCTTTTATTAAAAAAAAAAAAAAGCTGTGTACTTCCACTTTAGGGCTTCTCAGGTGGCTCAATGGAAAAAAATCCACCTGCAGGAGATGTGGGTTCGATCCCTATGTCACGAAGATCCCCTGGAATAAGAAATAGCAACCCACTCCGGAATTCTTGCCTGGGAAATCCAACGGACAGAGGAGCCTGGTGGGCTACAGTCGATGCGGTCACAAAGAGTCAGACATGACTGAATGACTGAGGGCACACACACACACTCTTCTACCTTACCCCAGGTTTACTTCTTGGGCCTCTGCTAACATGCACCTCTGGAATCTATAAGAACCACCGAGCAGAACCCCGCACTCAGGCATTCAAATCCTGTACTCACACCGCTCTCTCCAGCCATCAGCTCACACCTGAGCACGGGGCTCGGGGCCTGTCCCTGCTCCATCGGCACACAAGCGGCACCCAGAGGCCCATCCGTGGGAAAGCCAGGATAAGCCAGGATGCACACAGTGGGGTGCCACAGGTCAGGACCGAGGCACCTCACTAGAGTTCTGCATTTTCTTCAAATTCTACCCCATGTTTTTCAAGTAAAAGCCGTCTGAGGACTTTTCTGTGGGGCCAGTGATGAGCATACCCAACGTGAAACACAATAAAAAGCTTTTAGAAGGCTAAGAAACCAAGCCACCAAAGCAGCAGCTTCCAGACCTAACAGGCCTTCTTAAGGGAGAAGACTGCCTTTCCTCATCACCAAAAGGCTGGCACCGGGAAGGAAGAATCCGGTTTCCCTGCACTCCCTCCTCCATTTCTCCCATGAAAAGAGCATGCAGTACTGCGAAGCCAAGGAGATGCGGCTCTCTCAGGACAGGCTGAGAACATGGCTTTCCATTCATTTCAAGTTGATAACTAAGACCCAGGTGGGCACGGGCCGCACTCACAAGGACAGAAGCACTGTGCACCTCACCTGGGCACTCACAGCCTCCTCCTTTGGCTCGGTTTGCCACCGCTGCGGCATAGGAGCGTGCATCCAAGATCAAAAGCTTCTGCGGTTGGATGGCTAGACTCTCTGCTCCTGAAGCATTTGACAGAGAAGAATCTGGGGACATCAGGAGCAGGAAAAAAAAACAAAATGAACCTGTCTCTCCCAGAACTGTTGCAAAATAAGAACCACAGACACTTATTACAGTACCCAAAAAACTCGATTAACTGAAATCCACCTAACCCAAACTACCTAAATACCATGGGACTTCTCTCCTGTGTTGTTCTCTATTTTGCCTACAATCTCTTACACTTCAGTTCTACAACTGAAGTCTACAATGACTACAACCTAAGTCTCATGGTCTGGAAACACTGTGTAGGTCCCCTATCATATCTTGTCACAACGGCAAGAAAGACAACACTCTAGTCCTCTTAAATCAGGTTTGAAAGAGAAGGTCTTTTGGTTTTTGCCAAAACCCGTTACTCCTCAAACAATCCCACTAACTGAAGTTTCTCTTGCTCTTCTAAGAAACCAAATTCTGCCTTAAACGAAAAAGGCCATTTCAAGAAAAGGTTGTCAGAAGCTATAAAAACTGCTGCCAGAGGCCCAGGGAACCTTACCAAACTCCACATCAGAGAGGTCTCCTGCACAGGGGAAGTCCCGGGGACTGTTCCTCGGCGGCGGCTTGCTGCTACTGGATCGGGAGTCCGAGGCACAAGCCTTGGCTACGGACTGCACCAGGTGCTCGTCGTCGGCGTTCCTCCAGCCCCACCAGCTGACCTCTGGCTGTCCGCAGCGGGCAATGACAGCGCCATTGCTCTGGTGCCTGTGTGGGGAACAGGACGACAACTGCACCCAGCCCCGCCTCCCTATTCGGGTACTCTGTGCTCACACGAAGAATGACACAGTAGATTTCAGATGCTTTAATGAATGGTTTGACTACAGGCACGTGATGGGTTAACTTCAAGGCCTCCCAGGGCAGGAGTTTTATAAGCCATCAGAATAATGAAATCTATCTGGATCTTTCTGGATTATCATACCATTTTAGAGACCTTTGTAGAATAACCAACAAAATGATAAATGTGTATTCTTACATTAAACAAAATATTCATGAAGAATAACTACTTTTGGAAAACTACCTGAATAACTGCTTTTGGAAAACTGGGTAAAAAATAAAATACCAATGCCACACTAATTCTGCTACTTAATAATGAAGCATTAATCTCTCCTTTTTAATACTACCCCTGAATATCCAAGCTTAATGGATGCTAAGACAAACATCTGTTTCCTCACTGATTTCTGAGGACTCAGCATAGCAACTGTGCAATTATGGCTGGTTTGAGGATTCTTTTCAAAACAATATCCCACATTTGGGACTGAAATATTTACCTGGCCCACAATGGACTGCTTTACAAAACCTCCTGAGACTTCATGAGTCACAACTGCTCTTACTACAGGCAGAGAGCTCAATGAGCCAGTTACCCTTCCATAAACTCTTAGAAGGAAATGAATAGCATCAATAAGCCATACTCTGATAAGACCCTTTTTCATGGGGGGGAAAAAAAAAAAGACCAGAAATTATATCCAAGCTTTTGTCTTGGATTGTCTATCCAAGCTTTTCCTAATTAGGAATTTTAGTAAGGTGATTTTAGCAACTAAAAAGTTGCAAGGGTAATGTAATTTGGTAACAAAAAGGAATCAAGCTCTAATACATGTCACAACATAGATGAACCTTGAGGATGTTATTGCTCCAAAGTGGAAGAACTCAGTCACAAAAGACCACATTATGATTCCATTTATACAGTGTCCAGAACAGGAAAATTTATAGAGATAGTATGTAGATTTACTGATAACCCAGAGCCAGGGAGTGTGAGGAGGGAACGGGGAGTGTCTGCTAATGGGTCTGGGATTTCTTTTTAGGGTGGGGAGAACATACTGAAGTTTAAGTATAGTGATGGCCGAACAATACTGTGAATAGACTTAAAAACACTGAGCTGCACACATTAAAAAGGTGAACTGTATGTGACATCTCAATAAAGCTGTTTAGACGTTATAAAAGTAGTCAGTTCACTATAAAAATAAATGAGTAAAAAACTAGTAAGCAAAAAATTTTATTATCTCCCAAATTCTATATCCTAGAGAGAACAGTCCATGTCTTTACTCCCATTAAAATTGTTTCCAAATACACATTCATCCACATAAAACATATGTGGATGTTTTATGCACAGATGGGTTTTTAACAAACAGACTATTGCATCTAGATGTCTTGTTCAAAGGACAATGTGAGAAAAATTTTTGTCTTTAATCCTAAAACTCATAAACAATAAAATTAAATTTGGGAACAATAAATTCCACTGGAATCATCAGTTTGTTTGTCGTTTTTAAATCCTCCCTCATTAGGAGACACAAATAATAGAAAGTACTTGTGTATTGCCAACACAACAATTAGGTCAACTGCTGAATGCAGCTGAACTATAAATAAAACCTCATTGATTCTTAAAATGCCTACTAGCATACAATAATAGATGCCGGGTAACCAATGAGCTGAGGGGCGGCAGCTCTTTACAGAATAGGGTGGTGGGGCCTTTGCTGCACATCCTTTTCTTCCCAAATTTTTCTCAGCAACGCTCGAGAAGAACAGTAGGTGGCACTCGTCAGCCTGGGTCTTGGGTTTTAAGGATCATAGTATGATAGCTAGATCGCAACTGAATTGCTGCAAAAAGCAGTTTCCGCAGTCTTGTAAATGCTTTAGACAGCAGGAAAGAGAACAAAACACTGTAGCTAAAAATCACTAAAGAGTGTTTCTATCATTTTAAAACAGAACAAGGAAAAATAAAACTTAAGATGTTCAATGGATGAGCCCCCTACTAAACAGTGAATTCTTCAATTTTACATATAGAAAGATACAAATGTTTAAACTGTCCCAAAGTTAGTATTAGTCAAACTCCCTAAATGACTCGAACAGTGAAAGTCTTAGTTGCTAAGTCGTGTCCAACTCTGTGATTCCATGGACTGTAGCCTGTCAGGCTCCTTTGTCCGTGGAAATCTCTAGACAAGAATACTGGAGTGAGTTGCCGTTCCCTTCTCCAGGAGATTTTCCCGACCCAGGGGTCGAACCGGGGTCTCCTGTGTTGCAGCAGATTGTTTACCGTCAGAGCCACCAGACAGCCCCATGACTAGAAGTTTCTAATAATCACTCAATGCAGAGTAAGAGAGCTGTAAATTGCACTACAGATGGGCAGGCAGCCTTTGCACTGTCACTGTGTTAAAGCAACCTCCATCTTCAACAATAAATCCAATTAAGCACTCTCTCGTCACCATGGGAGAAAGCACTGATCAGATGCTGGTTCAATGTGGTGCTTTCAAGAAAAGTGCGGCCAGCAACCTCAGGAGTCATTAGCGATCTACAGACAACTACATTCAGTAAACACATGTTGGATTCAGAAGCATCCTGCCACCTGAGCTAACAAAGCTCATTCCTTCTGGCATAAACTCTGGAAGGGAAAAGAAGCTTCCCATGTTTATTCTAAGTCTTTCTTCAGCCTACACTTTTAGGCCTCTCTACCAACAGGGAGAATTTCACTGAATGACCCTTGCTTTGAGATGAGAGTCCTTTCCCCTTACGCTCAAAGTCAGCTAACTCCGCAAATGACAGGGCTGCTGATCTAACACAGCTGCTGGCCGCACAGCAGCAGTTGGCGGCTTTCCCTATTTGAGCTGGCCCGATCACTGATAAGACTCACAAATCCTTTCAGTTTGCACTGCTCTCTAATTCCTGTGTCAACCTTACCACTTGAATGATAGGTAAATTTGGTGACCTACTTTTCTAGAGGTGTCTGAAAACAACAGTGATGCTAACTGAGACTGAAAATTTAATGGGTTTCCCTGGTGGCTCAGATAGTAAAGAATCTGCCTGCAATGCAGGAGACCTGGGTTCGATCTCTGGGTTGGGAAGAACCCCAGGGGAAGGGAGTGGCTACCCACTCCAGTATTCCTGCCTGGAGAATTCCATGGACAGAAGGGCCTGGCAGGTTACAGTCCATGGGGTCACAAAGAGTTGGACACGACCGAGCGACTTTCATTGGGCCAGAAGCAAATGTGTACTTTCACATCTCTCCCTCTTCAGGATGGCCACTAAAATTTGCCTTCCATGGACTAAGAAAACAAGCTGGTTACCTCACTAGGAATTATACAAGAAGTTTTAATTTTAAACCCCTTCTTACCACCTCAGTATTTCAATAGACTTCCTCCTGGCATGAGCTTCTAACTAAGCCTCACTGGTTTGGCCCAAATTCAAGGAGAGTCCATAAAGTCTGCAAATGGGGAAAATGAAATGGGGACTGTGAATATTACAAGGACATCTGAAATTGTTCCAAAATATGAGGGAATGACTTCTTAAAAACTTCACATGATTTGTGAGGATTCAGCTACACAGTCACTGAATTATAAAAGCAGCCCTCAGGAATACAATCTACTCCAGACACTGATTAGGAAGCCTTGTGTGACAGAGTCACTCAGATGTCACAGCATACCTGTGAACTGAGAACATCATGGGAACAGGCTGGGGTCAGTTAGGGAACTTGCTCAAGGTGCCACAGCAAGGCGTGTCAGAGAGAAGACTTGAGTTCTAACACTGTGCTTGTGACCACATCACCACCCCTTCTAGAATTTGGCTCCCTTGACTCTCCTGCCTCTGATCTCTAGTATCTTCTAACCAGCCAAGGGCTAGCCTTCTCTAAATGCTCCCTCTCAAAACAAACTTTTTCCGTGTGGCAATATTTCAACCACAAAGGCAATCACAAATCTACACTCCCTATTCTCACTTTCCAGGACTCATTTCTCTCAATGCAAGGTCATCAACTGAAGCTAAAAGCAGTGAATACATTATCTTCCCACAGAATGTCAGAAGAGGGCTTCCCTGGTGGCTCAGTGGTAAAAAATGTGCCTGCCAATGCAGGAGACACAGGTTCGATCCCTGGTCCTGGGAGATCCCACAGGCTGTGGAGCAGCTAAGCCCCTGCGCCACAGCTACTGAGCCTGTGCTCTAGAGGCTGGAAGCCACAACTACTACAGCCCACTGCCCTAGAGCCCAAGCTCCGCAACGAGAAGTCTGGGCACCGCAACTAGAGTAGACCCCACTCGCCTGAACTAGAGAAAAGTCCATGCAGCAACGAAGACCCAGCGCAGCCATAATTAAACATTTTTTAAAAACAAAACAATGTCAGAAGGATCTTAAAATAGCAAATCCAGCCATTTTTTAATCAAAATTTTCTTTTCAGTGTCAACTGAATCATCAGGTAGTGTTCCAGTGAAGTACTGACTGGTCCATGACTGGACGAACAACTTTAACAATAAGGAGGCACAAAATAGCCTGGAGAGCTCCCTGAACCACCACCACCCCACCCCAGGGCGGTAGCACCAGACCAAGCTGGACCTGGCCAGGCCTCCTTACCTGTAGACGACAGCAGGGATGCGCTTCCAGGACCGGAAGCCTGCAACACTTTCCAGTTCTTTGTCAGTGATCCAGGCAGGCACTATGAGCTCCTGCGGGTAGCTACCACACAGCCTAACAGGGAGAGTGAGGAAGAGGGAGAAGGGAAGCAGGAGAGACGAGTGAGCCAGGGTAAGGGTGTGCGTCAAGCTACCCCAGAGCCAGCTCAAAAGGCAGCAAGGAGCAAGACGTGAGGCTTCGCCCTACTCAGTGGCGTGGGCTGCCCTAAGTGTTATGCATGTCAAGTGATACTGCCTTGGGTTGCTCCACTTGATGCTGCCTTTGGGAAATCTGGCCATCTTAACACTCAACGAAAATAAGGGAGCTGAAAGGCACTCACTCTACCTAACTGTTGTAACCAACACACGGATCACTTCTAACCACACAGGTACCCAGTTCACCTGCAAAGGTGGAGTCTCTGTTACTCTACCAGGCCCTCAGTCTTCCAGGGAAACGGAGTAAGCGCAAGAGCCCCCAGTTTCGACTTCCCAGAGACCTCACAGGATTACTAAGGTGTTGTTTCATGTGAACCAAACAAGGTGTCCTAATTGTAGGTAACAGGTGCAGCTGTGGGTATACAGATGCAGCAGAGTGGGTCAGCCCCACCTGCATACACAGTCACAGCCCCATTAAGCCAAGTCAGTGATGCGAGTATGCTATTAATCATCATTTCTATAAAACACACTTTAGAACTACACTCAAGGCGGGAAAAGCCAGTTTTTTAAAAAATTTTTATTTTATCTTACAGCTGACTTACAGTGCTGTGTTTAAAAAAGCTGTTTTCATTAGGGCAAACATTAGGTGTTTTGTCTTACTTCACAAAATATTTGGATTGCTAAGCTCCTGTCCTCTAAGTATCACATTACCTAGCAGTCAGCTCTTCACCGAGTATGGCCGCTCACTCGGCAGATAAGCAGTCTCCAGTACAGGAAAGGTGGGTTACATGTGAGCAAAGCCTGTCGCAGCCTCAGGCTCCCTGAGGACCCCCTCCCACCTTGATTCTCTCCTTTGACTTGTCAGCTGAGAACAGGCAAAGGTATGACACACCTGTAGCTCCTGACTCTTGGCAACACCTCCTTGGCCAAGGTCCATGTTAAGAACTGTATATAGTAATTAGCTGTAGTTTTTCCAGCAAAAAATTAAATGCTCTGATGGCTACCCACAAACAGTCCAAGAAAACAGCTATCATAATTTGAGGTAGTTGGAAAGATAACACAGTGATTAATGTCTCCAACTGCTGCAGGGAAACTTAAGAGGAAAAGGATGTCAATTTAAAAATTCTGGACAATTTTCTTTCATTTTATAGAAATCTGAATCACCAAAATCATAGTAATTAACTGCCCTTCCCTATCAAAGTTCTTATACCTTCCAAGAAAATATTTAGTAATTGTTACATTAATATTTAAAGGTTAAACAATCATAGCTATGACATTAATTTTAGATCAATGAATTAAACAGAATAAGACTTAAGACTATTTCATATGATCTGGGGTAAAAGCAAGTAAAAACGAGCTCCTAAGTGTTTTATCGAATAGTGATGAGGACAAGAGAACCTGCCTGCCTACAGGTAAGTGTTTTATCGAATAGTGATGAGGACAAGAGAACCTGCCTGCCTACAGGTGTTTAGACATACATGTGCCAGGAGAGAGGCCTGGAGGGGACTGGAAGGAAGATTCCAGGATTCTACTAAGTAAGAATCTCTTTCCACTCCAGTGATAGCAATGGAAACAGAAGGCTCAATAAGTACTCTGAAAATCACGCACTTATATTTAATACATAAAACTCTGTTTTAAAGAAAAATTTTAAATTCAAATGTTCTGCCACATGAGAATTGGGGTTTCTAGAAAAGACAGTGGTCATGAAACACAGTCCACAGGGACCAAATACAACTCACTTGTACTTCTCATTGATGTTAGAAATCCTCCAGGCGTTGTTCATATCAAAACCCATCCGCTCCACTTCATTTTTAAACCTTGACGTTACATGTTCCCCTAGGGACCAAAGACAGACAGGAGAAAGGAAGAAAGGAGTATGATTTTGCAAAACAAGTGGAATAAAAGCACTGGTACCCTCCTTAGTTTTTTTTTTTTTTAAGTATTGTAATAAATACCATATTTAGTTTTTAAAAAAATCTCCTGCTGGGATAAGACTATAAAAAGAAATGAGGAAATTAATTCTGATCAAGGATATTATCTCAATTAAAAATAAATTTAAAAAATTAAAAAGGAATTAATATTATCTCATTTAATCACTACTATCAAATTTAAGGGCAGTATCACTGAGCACATTTTACAGAGGATAAAACAGACTGGGGAGATTATTATGGCAGCTCTGTCTGATCCCAAAACCCATGTTCTTGTCACTATACTGGCTAGCTTCCTATTTCCACACTCAGACTGATGGTATACATAAGAAATAAAATCAGTAAGTTCACCAAGATGAGTAATATGGATCTGTAACTCCTCATGAGAAACTCTCTGGGCCAGATTTCAGAAATTGAGCTTTCTGGATTCTACAGTGGTATATGTATTACCAGTTCAGTTGCTCAGTCATGTCGGATTCTTTGAGACCCCATGGAATGCAGCACACCAGGCCTCCCTGTCCTTCACCAACTCCTGGAGCTTGCTCAAACTCAATGTCCACTGAGTCAGTGAAGCCACCCAACCATCTCATCCTCTGTCGTCCCCTTCTCCTCCTGCCTTCAATCTTTCCCAGCATTAGTGTCTTTTCAAATAAGTCAGTTCTTGGCATCAAGTGGCCAAAGTACTGGGAGTTTCAGCTTCAGCATCAGACCTTCCAATGAATATTCAGGACTGATTTCCTTTAGGACAGACTGGTTGACTCTCCTTGCTGTCCAAGGACTTTCAAGAGTTTTCTCCAACACCACAGATGAAAAGCATCAATTCTTTGGCGCTCAGTCTTCTGTATGGTCCAGCTCTCACATCCATACATGACTACTGGAAAAACCATAGCTTTGACTAGATGGACCTTTGTTGGCAACGCTGGGTTAATGATCTCAAAAGCATTAAACAAACATTAACACCTTTACAGTGAAATACATGGATAACTCAAACTAAGTGGGTTAAATAAAGCAGCAAATAGCTAGCTCAGATCAAGTCAAACTATCAAATAAAATTAAAATCTTTGATTTTCAGAACCTTATAGATTACAGAATTGCAGTTAAGAGATCACGAGACAGGGCTTCCCTGATGGCTCAATGGTAAGGAATCTGCTTGCCCATGCAAGAGGTATGAATTCAATCCGTGGTCCAGGAAGATCCCACATGCCTTGGTCGGAACAGCCAGGCCTCTGTGCCACAACCACAGAGGCTGTGCTCCAGAGCCCGGGAGTCGCAACTACTGAAGCCTGCACTTCACAGCCCATGCTCTGCAACAAGAGAGGCCACCGCAATGAAAAGCCCGTGCACCATAGCTAGAGAACAGCCCCCACGAAAAGCCGAGCAGCAACAGAAACCCAGCACGGCCAATAAATAAATAAAAGATCATAGGACTTTAACTGCCTGTATCCAGGAATCTCAAGAAATACCACACTACTAACTAGAACGCCGAGCATTTGTAAGAACATCCACCCAAACAAGTATAACCCGCCTACACTTGCCCTCGTGGATTTGGCTCCTTCTTCCTTAAGACAGCGAGCTAGAGAGGCAGAAATGAACCAAATATAAAAGTCATTAAATCTGAAATACTTCCTTCCGTGAGAACAGAGTCCTAGAACAGTAATTTTATAAAGAACAAACAACAACAAAACAAACCATTTGGCAATACCTCTAACATACAGCCTTATAGGCTGTAAAATAAACACTGGTGGGGCTAGGAGAAACTACAATAACAAAAGCACAAAACAGCCAGCACTGGTGATCAAAGCTTTGCTCTCCTGGGAGAAGAGCTTCAGAATGGGAAACAGCAATTACTTGAATGAAGGACAAGTCTATAAAACTACTTCTCATTTAAACTGCTCTTCTTGAGCTTAAACTAGGCATTGTATGTTTCCTGAAGGAGAGCTATAAAATGATGAGGTTCAGAGATGCAAGAGGAAATAATCAACTGAATCTATTCCATTCTGGCAAAGTTTTAAAAGTGATATAATCTTTCAAACAGGAAAAAGCTATCTGAATTAGGAGTGCCATCTGTCTACAAACTGTAAGCAATGGTGACCATCAAGAATTCTAGACAGGGACTCTTTTCACTTATAATCACAATACAAAAGCTGTAAAACTATAGCAACTTCCAAGTTCATTAATTAATGACAAGATTTCTCCCAACTTGGAAAATAGTTCCAAGTCTCTGAAAAATGTAAAAAGATATTTACTTAGTGGTCATTTACATTAGTACCTCTATCTTAATGGATACCCAGACACCCTAAATAGAATCCTATAAATTTAAGATTAAACATCTCCACATCCCTCCCCTCCTCCTCAGGCAGTTTTCTATATAGAACCACTGCCCAAGAATGGGTTTAGAATTCCCATTCCCAGCATGAAACTGAGCTACAAACAAACATATACTGAGTAGCCATCATTTTAAAAAATCTGTTATTTCAAGTTCCTTGAGAAGGAAGAATGAGTTTTAATTCTCTTTGTATTCTCTAAAGCAGTGACTTCATCAACTTTGAATCTGACCATTACAACCTACAGTAAGAATGTTTTACACCACAATTCAATACAATGTATGTTTTAAGAGTTTCATAAAACAATATTGACCCTTACCATGTGTGTGACTCATTGCTATTTTCTATCCTAAGTGTTTCATTTCATACTTCATTTCTTAAAACTTCGGTTTCATGACCCACTGGTGGATCACAACCTGCAGTTTGAAAACCATTGCTTGAAAAAACACTGAGCAGCAGACCTTACATACACAGAGTAAATCAACTGGCTTTTGCGAAACTGTTAGAAGTTCGCTTGTGCTTCTCCTGCCAGAAAAGTGCAAGCCAAGCACAAATACTGCTGGGTTTTCCTTGAGAACTCCCCTCTTAGAATTCTCATATCTCCACCAATTCAACATCAGATATGCTGTAATAACCCCAATTTGTCTGTTGGTTTATATTTCCATTTCAACCCTTCCTATGGGCCTTCCCCATCCCCATCCTTTTTAACATTTTGTATTTCTTATACTACATACAGTCCAGCAATTATTTTAATGAGAATATAAACTTTTCTTTAAAGCAGTAAGTCCCTCTACCATAAATTCAGTATCAACCAGCAGTCTACAAAAATTTCCCTCCAAAAGTGTAGCTCCCGGGGTGATCCTGAGTACTCACTCATACCTACAATTATATGCAACCTAAAGGCCTGGGGCAGAAGGGCCAGGCCCGTACCCAGGATGTGAGGAAGATCAGTACCAGAGTCAGAGAAGGTGAGAAACAGCCTCCAGATTTTCAAATATGGAGAGAAGAACCCTTCTTTTCAGTGAACAAAGGGCCCAGTTCAGTTGTCTAGATGTACAATTACTGGACTGCGATCAAACTCAGAAAGCAGACTCTGCTGACAAGGGCTTTTACTTCATCTAAAGAGGCAGCTGCACAACAGTATATGGCCCAGAGTCATGCTGTTTGTGGTTAATCAAAAGGTGCTTATCAGGCAATTCACAGGGAAGAGGTCAGAAAGGCTGGTCTGATGCTACTAAACTAGCAACTCAATTGCCCAGTCACCTGTCAGACTCCAGATTAATGCTCACATACAAAACTATCACCAAGAAGACAGCTAAAACGAGAAGGATGTTGAGCATACAGCTTGAGTCCATTCTTATTTAGACTTTGAAATGGGGCTAACAGCAGAGTCAAGAGTTTTGCAATGAACTCCAACAGCATTATGGAGACTTCCTCCAAAACAGATTAAGACTTGGAGCAATGTGGCCATAGGATGGCTGGCTAACTATGACAGGTTAAACAGTCAGAAACTAAGATTTACATGAATACAAGGTAATATTTTCCCATTTCCCTCCTCTCTGACACATTCTACTCTTAACAGGTTAGGCAGAGAAGAGTCCATAAAAGGTTTTAATAACTTCTAAAAGACTAAACTAACTTCCACCCTTCGGAGTCTATGCCTGTAATCACATGTGCTGGGGCAGGTTAAAAAATGGCATGACTTTGAAATACCTCAGGTGCTGTCTCACCTAAAGATGACTTAAAGGAATGTGGCTGTCTGGTCTGCTCCTAACTGGTGAGTAATGCTGTAGCCACTACCAGTACTCAACAATATTGGGTAGAGACAGAAGAACTAGGTTGACTGGCTTTAAAAATGCCACCACAGTACTTTTCAAGGGCGAGTTTTCCTTCACAGTGCAAATATATTAAAGGAAAAAGGCACACATATGCACAGAGATTCAAACCAAGTCACTGAAGTACACTAAGACTGCATATGACTTGTAGCAGATTGACTTCAGTGTGGAACATACATATTAAATAAACAACACAACCTTTAGTCATGGAGTAAGTTCCAATCAGTTACAATGGTATCATTTTATATATTCATACTTTCCAAAATGTTTTCGTAAGCATGACACTTAGGAGGCACTCAAGCATTCACTGAACTGAAACAGTGCTAACTTTCAGGATATACAGATCAGCTTGGGCAGGAAGAAGAAAAATGTCCCACACTTTGAAGAACACAGGAAACTGAAGAGAGGACAGATGGCTTGCCCAGCGTTGTTTCAAAAATTAAATGGTAGAGTATAGATTTGAATCCAGGTTTTCTAGTCCCTAAATCAGTATTTTGCCCCCCAAATGCCTCCATCCACAGCATGAAAAAAACACAGGAAACTGTGGATGTCCTGGTGGCCAACGAATACCAAATATCGTCAAGGGAAAGAAAGGTCTGGGAACTAAAATCATCTCAGTTCAGGACAAAGCCATCTACAATTAATAAACAGGAGTTAAGTTCTGATCTGGCACATCTTAGGAATATTCTAAGAGTTGACTCAAATCCTAAAGAAACTAAATTATCAAAGAAATAAGGAATCAGCTAACG